GTCATAAGGCCACACACCCCGCCCCCAACGGTCCCGGCCGCCACCGCCAGCCTTGCTGCTCCACTGCCGAGCCCCATGAGGGGCCCAGCGGTGGACCTGCAAGGCCAGCAGGAGTGCAAGGAAGCCCTGGAAGGCCCTCCCTGGCCCCAGGCAGGCAGGGGTGGGGAGAGGCAGGGAGGAAGCAACTTACCCTCCCTCTTCTCCTGCCTCCTCCTGGCTGAATGAGGGCCGGAAGCGGGGTGGCCGGAAGCAGGGGGCGGGGCTTCGTCATGTGCCCCGCCCCCCGTACCTCACCCGGGGGAACTGCGATCCCCCCTGATCCCCCCCAAAATGACCTCTGCTTTGGGAGCCAGTTTTGTCTGAAGAGAGGTATAAACATCTGAGTAGAATGTTAATCAGAGAAATGAGAAGGCCACTTGGAGGCTTGTTTCTGTGGGGCTGTAGCTTTCCATGTTCCATTTTATGTGATTTAAGGAGTAAGTCAAGCCAGACAGTCAGTTGGGAAGATAGATTGTTCTTGGAACACTGTCAGGAATGGATGTTAAAACTCCTTTTGGGTAAAAGCATCCTTGTATAGCTGATCACAGTACTGATAGATTCCAGGCTACCAAGTGTGTGGTCCTTCAGCCATCCTGTATTTCTTAGACCAAGGTAGCAACATTCCTGTGCATGAGTGAATAGGCCCAGGAGCAGAGGCTGACAGCCCAGTGGAGTGTCCTAGTTTGACAACAGTGGGGCCAAAACAATCCAGTCTAAATATGCAGAAAGTGGGAATGAAAAGTTCAAACAAGCAGGCAACAGTTGAAGACAAAAGCAGCGAAGGAAACTACAGTGTGCGTAAAATACATAGTATGGTACCTAGACACAATATTAAAGCTCTTAAGAGGACCTTGGGCCCATTTCATGTGGTTTCATTGACCAGGGAGCTGAAGATAGATGATAGACTAATAGCTGAGGAGCACTAAGACCAAGATCAATTAGTGAATCTATGGTACAGAGAATTCTAATTAAATAAATTTTAATGAGCAGTAGGCTTAGTTTACATATCAGAGAAATACAAGGACCATGAAAAGTAGAAGTCGAGTTGAGACTATACACTGAAACAGCCTTAACATTATCAATAGAAGGAACAGAAATTTTCAGAGAATTCTGAAATAGAAATACACTATAGGGCTTTCAGAGTAGTGCCTTATCTCTTGCACAGATTAAAGACCCATCATGTCTGCTATGGACCAGAGACTGTCCCTTGCTGTGTTGCTAGGAAACTACAACCGAAGCACTAATAAATTATGTTTTTCCCCACACAAAAATCACTCCCCACCCCCTTTCCTTACTGCAACTATTCACATGGGATTTGTTTTTGTGTGCGTGGGCTTTCTCTGCCTCACACACAAATTCATACCCACCGATCCGGCAGTTGTTATCAATAATTGCATTTATTTCAATTGTATCCTACCATTCTTCCATCTTGGAACTCCAGGTAGAATACATTGCTGGGAGTTTTGCCACTTAGAAAACAATTAGAAAGTGTGATCCAGGTGGTCAGCTGTATTGGTCTGAAGCAGTAGAACAGATTTAGAGTCCAGTGGCACCTTTAAGACCAATAAACCTTTGTTGATCATAAAGGTGCCACTGGACTCTGAATTTGTTCAAGTAGAAAGTGCGCCTGCATAACAGATGTCCAGTGAAATATTCGTATCATTGTTCTAGATTTTTAGTTCTTTAATAAGCATTTTTAGATTTGTTCCTTATTATGCCTTGGTTTCATTGTCTGTCTATCCTTCACCTAGTGCGTTTTACCTTTAATGGTAAATGGTGTCAGTGGAAAATATTGTGATGCAGACAAATCCCACTCTCCCTGGTTTCCTCACAGTGGTACTGTTGCTAAGGAGGAAGGATAACTACCAGTTAAAGAAATAAATCTCATATTACCCACCCACCCCAATTTCCACAAGCATATTCTAAAATATTTGGCCTTTGTAGCCTCTTCAGAGCCAGGATAAACCACATTTGTGAGGTAGTCACTTAGGACTGTTTGCTTGGCACTATTTACTCGCTTCTGAGAATTCCTGGACAATTCTGAAGAATGTAGTAGCACAGGAAAGAAACAGTATCTTCTCTGTTGGTCCCAAACTTTGTTACAGCCTTAGTGAACAAAAAATCATCCACTGTGCCTGAACATCCTCTATCAAGGATTCTTCTGCTGCATTTTGTATTAAATGATGAAGTTTCTGATGGAATCTTTAGTCTAGCTCCTGCTGTTGTCAGAACCTAGACTCCAAGGTGAAATAGTAAAGGTAGAATACATAAAAGCTGTAGATTCTGCATCCTGCCCTTTAATAGGTGTCCCATGTCATAAGTCTTGTTAGCAATCATTGCTTTGATCTTATCTGGATTCATCTTCAGTTTGTCTAGAGTTACTGTGTATGGGAGGGATGACACAGGTGTTTTAGACACATGTCTGCTTGAATGAAACCTCTTTTGAACCTGTTCCAAGTTCGATCTGGGGAAGCCAAGTATAAGAGAGTGACTTTTCTTCTGTTGCCACTCACTTCTGTTCTAAGGAGCTACAGGCTTAGATTTTACTCCTGTCATTTTGATGAAGGGATGATGCTCCTAAGCAAGTCTGGAAAAGAGCACAGAGACCTGGAAATGAGGAAATTAGTTTATTGACAAGAACATAAAATACATGTGGTCAGAATATTATCAGGCACATAAATATGACTGAATGTGAAGCATACCCACAACAAAGTATAGTTATTCCAGATGCTCACACGCTAGTGCAACGTATTCACTCAGGAGGCAAGAAAGAAAGAAAAGTTAGAGGGGGAGAAAGCATATTAGGTAAGGTCCTGAGTAGGGAGTGATCTGAGTAGATTTCCGAAGGTTTCAAGGAAGTCAATAATTCAAAAGAATCCCCGAAACCACACAAACTTACTAGGGTTTGGAGTCTCCTGGGCCAAACTGAGACCCAAGCAAGTAAGTCCATGTAGAAATCCGAGGGGAAAAGTATGTGGAATCTTCCACATGAGGCAGAACTAGATAAATCGGGAGATCTGAAACTTGGGGAGCAGATCGTAGCAAGTTCTGGATACTAAGGACATTTAGGGAAAGGTTTCTGTACTCAGTTATAGGACTTTGGACAGAATACAAAAGGTTTGATTTTCCAAGACTTCAGATGAGGAGGAGAATCCAAGTGAACTCAGAGGGCAGCGTCCTGATTGGTGATGTGGTGGAAGCAGAGAGAGTTCTTAAGTTTACTAACTTCTAAATAAGGTAAGGAAGGGAAGTCTTGGGCCCTGGAAGGAGGTGTGTTAGAGCACCAAAATGTGGAGCACGAGAAATAGATACCAACTTGAGAAAATTGAGAGGAGAAAACTTAATTATTTAAGACTCTGAAGTAATTGGAGTTCTGTTGCTAGGAACGGATGTTGCAGTGATAGAAGAGCTTTATGACTAAAGCACCCTGACTACAAAAATGTTCTAGATAATTGTCTAAAAGTTTAGTGCTCAGTTGGGTCTGTAGCTCTCTGGGCTTGCCACAGTAATAGTATCACAGTGAGTGTCCTACATTGATAGCAGAGATGAGATGGCCATGGAACTAAGATGGAGGGAAATGGAGGCAAAAAAGAAAGCTTGGTGGCAAATACGGCCAGACACATTGGTACCTAAAATAGGTACGAGTGCAGGAGCTTAATGCAAAAATATCTTATTTTGCATATCACGCAGCAGGTAGGAAGCATGTACATGTGAATGTTTGGGGATCACTTAGGCTGCGTCACACGCACTAAATAATCCACTTTCAGTGCACTTTCCAGCTGGATTTTTACTGTGTGAACTGGCAAAATCCAGTTGGAAAGTACATTGAAAGTGGATTATTTAGTGTGTGTGACCACAGCCGTAAAGAGACTCTCCACCACTCCCAAATACTGCATACGGGGAAGTTCTTTTTTCAAATTAGAATAGCCACAGAGTGCAACTGCAGACGTTCCCCAAGAAGCCAGAGAGCCTAAAGACGGTTCTGCAGGAGAAAGCATCCAGTTCTTCAATCCCCACAAAGTGCTTACCAATATCCTCCAGAATGGATTTTTAAAATTTGCCTTTTCACATAGGATTTTCGTGCATATGCCCCAAATACTTCAAAATTTATTATTTTTTAAACTTAATTTATGTTTATTTTTTATTTAACAACATTTATATCCTGCCTTTCTACCCTCATAAGGGCCACCAAAGCAGCTAACAAATAAAAAACATACATGAGAAAAAGACACCTTAAAATCCATTAAAACAAGAAAAGCACATCATTAAAACAAAGTTACAGCTAAGCTTATAAAAACAACAATTAAAACATTGTGCAGGAAGGAGGGAGCACTAAAGTAACACCAAATGAAAGTAATAGGACTATACTATAACAAAATGGTTTAGCAGAACATTTTATAAAGGGAAATGAACTGTGAACTATATCACTGTGTTTTAGGAGGCACTGTTTGCTGCACATATTACACTTGTCACAGCATTGCTTTCTACTGATATTATTCTGTTGTTCCGCATTTTATCTGCACTCTGTATCATGTCTAATGTGCTGTTCTTGCTCAGATTTCTGTCATCAGTCCTGGTGTGCTGCTTATTTAGATGTCTCTTCATACTGATTGTATCAACCTATCCCGGGTAATACACTTTTGAGTCTCAGTGAGAAAGGCGGACTATAAATGCAGTAAATTAAAAAATATGGATTCATGTATTTTCTTAATATATATAAAAACTATATTAGTTAATTCTTGCTACATTTTATTATAAGAAAGAATGTAAAAAATCATGATGACAAGTTTTTCATACTTATTCATATTTATTCATATTTTTTCATATGTATCTTTTGGACCCCAAGAAACGTACCCCATCTTTGAACTGTAACTTTACCTCTGTGTTTAGTTGGACATCCTTAGAAACTTCTCACACCTGGGTAGAGTCACATATTCTGTCTATTCATATCAATTATACTATTTCTAATCTTTTAGAGGCTGTATTATTCTGTTACTCCCTTGTTCTTTACCCCTCTCCAAGGCTGTTCTGTTGTGGATCTCTGGACTCCCTATTTAGTAAGTTAACTAAGTGACAAGGCCAGCCTGTTTCGGGTCTGCAGAAGCATTCTCCACGATTTTTAGTCAAGACCAGCAACTGCTCCCCTATGTTTTTGACTATATTTGTTTGATTGTATGTAAACAAACAAAAGTTGCGCAGAGCTTTAATAGAGCATAACTCTTTGGAGATCATTTGGGTAATAGTAATAAAAATGATATTGAGGTTGGAGCTTACTTCATACGCAAACCAAGGAGATAATGTGGATAATGCTTTCCTAAAACAAATGTAAGCATAAAGGGGGAACCTCGGTGTAATAGATAGCAAAAAGCAATTATAAACACTGGAATACAGATAGCTGTCAAGATCAATTAACATCAAAAATATTATCAATTTATCAAGAATTTTGCAATTATAAGACAAATCCAAAAATTGATCTTAAACATAAAGGATAATTGGACATGCATAACGTACAACAGTTCTACAAACAATACTGTCTAACTAGTCATATAGAACAACCAGCTCACTGTTAATTGAGCTGAACAAGTCGTAGCACTAGAGAAGCATATAAATGCTCATAGACACAATAATTTTAAAGAGACAATATTCAGCTTAGGCTACACATCTATCAGACTTTCAAAAAATGCCGAAACATTCAAAAATGTATTAATCAAGATGAATAACACACTAAATGTTCTCTTAATAGGGTCTCTCTCAAAGGAACAACTATAATGGAGAGATGACAACAAATGCAGAGGAATGTTGAATGCTGCCACAAGGAATTGAAAATACGTGGATTTTTGAAAGTCTGATAGATGTGTAGCCTAAGCTGAATATTGTCTCTTTAAAATTATCAACGTCTATGAGCATTTATATGCTATGACTTGTCCAGCTAAGTAGCAAACTGAAAAGCAGAAAGACCATTGTGATCTACTGGTTAGAGTGTCAGTGTCAGTCTAGGATCGGGGAGACCCAGGTTCAAATGCTCACTCTGACATAGAAGCTGGCTGGGTTCAGTTCGCAGTTCATGGTGTGCCTGGTTTACAAACCATGAGTTGCCATAAACTTTTAGGGGTTCATGACCTACTAGAACACCCCTCCTGGTGTGACTGAGACACCAAACTCTCAGGGGATCTCTGGTTGAGTCTCCTCTACCTGCTCTCCAAGTCTGGTGACGATTGCAGTTACGGGGTCCAAGTTATGGCCCTCCAAAGAGGGTGCTCCCCGGAAAGTGCTTTCTGGGGAAATGGCAACATTCACAACATTCTGAAGGCAGCTTAGCTTAAAAGACGTCAGTGGATAGTTAAACACTCAACTGAGTAAGAACATGTAGTTTCAGGTGACTTTAAAAGGGGATGAGACAAAATGGCACTTTCATGCATGGTAAATAATGCCGTTTCAATCCATTTCAGCAACTGTTTGCAAGTGGATTTTGCCATTTCACACAGTAAAATCCAGTTGCAGAGTGGATTGAAAGTGCATTGTTTAGTGTGTGTGAAAGCGCCTAAAGATAGATTCCAGCCGGACAGGTCTGTTAGTCATCGCTGTTTGATAGATTTTTTTGGTATTTTATTAAGTTACCTCTGAGTTCTGGTTTCTGGAAGAAAAAAAACGATAGGAGAGGGCTGTTGTCTTTGTGCCCTGCCTTTACACTTACAGGAAGTATTTGGTTGGCCACTACTGATCACAGGATGCTGGATGTTGGAGGCTGCGTCTGATCCGTCAAGGCTCATATTCATCTCTGAAGGCAATATTTGGGTTATTTGATTAATGTTTGGGGGAAGGGGGGTTAAAGAGAAGGACTTTTTATCTGTAGGACTGGACTGTCTTTAGGAGCTAATTTTTAACTCTTTTGGAATACAAATGAGTTTAGGGGATCGTGTACACCAAGCCAAAATTTGAAGATCTGTATCAGGAGATGTTAAATATGAAGGATGGAAGAGAGACACATTTTGTCCTGCAGAGGCTATCATTAGGTTTTCTGGCCTTCTGGTGAACTTCTTCACTTGCATCCTAGGGCCATTTTAGAAAGAAGTTGTCCCATATGTTGTATTTGGAGTGTGTGAGAGAGTGTCCCAGGTGATTCCTAAATGTCTGCATGTGAACAAATTTGTCCCTATATATGAAGCTGCTGTTCAGAAGTGAAATATTTTGAGGACTATGGTAGTTGCATGTCATCAACAAACTGGGCACATAATTGTTCTAGTAACTTGCATCTAAATAAATCCATGAGCCTTGGGTGAGTGCACAAATTTTGCCATGTGGGGACTGACATATTCTATTTCTCTCATACCACTAACCTATTAAGTACAGATTCTGACTTTAAATAGACTATTTTCGAATGAGTAGTGTGGTGCTGTTGAGAGCAGATAATTGATAATATTGAGTAAGGAATTAAAATGAATAGTGTGCTTAATTGATTTCATTGTCCAGTAGGGTTGCTAACTACAGGTTGGTAAATCCCTAGAGATTTTTGGGGTGGCACCTGGGGAAGGCAGGGTCTGGGCAGAGGAAGGGAGTTCGGCAGGGATGTAATGCCATGGAGTCCACCATCCAAAACTGCCATTTTCTCTGCAGTCTGGAGATCAGTTGTAATTCTGGGAGAACTCCAGGCCCGACTGGAGACTGGCGACCAGTGTTCCCTCTAAGCTGAGTCAGTGTGAGCTAGCTCACAATTTTTTAGCCTTCGGCTCACACATTTTTGTCTTGGCTCAGGAAGGAGGGCTCCAGAGCAAACTAATTTATGCAGTAGCCAAATCACTTGCTCACAACTTTAATGCCAGTAGCTCACAAAGTAGAATTTTTGCTCACAAGATTCCACAGCTTAGAGGGAACATTGCTGGCGACTCTGTTGCCCAATTATAATGGTTTACCATTGGTATAGGGCTGCCAAGTGGGGGCGGGTGGCGGGTAACCCCCCCGCTTTGGAGGCCCGATTTCCGCCGCTGCGGAATCAGGCCCTGGGGGGAACCCCGCCCCCCGATCTGGCACAGCGTTTTGGTTGATCTGGTATTAATTTTGGTTGGTCTCATTTTCAGAGATTAATATTGTTTCCCCTTAATCTAGGAGAAATGGAAGAAGAGATGGAAAACTCAGAAATGGTGGATTTACCAGAGAAACAGAAACATCAACTGAGACATCGAGAACTGTTTCTCTCACGGCAGCTGGAATCCTTACCCGCCACGCACATTAGGTACAGTCTCAGTAACGAAAGAAATTCACTTTTAATACTTTTGTGCAAGAGTTTTAATATACACCAATAAAGGTTGATTGATTGATTGAATATACTTTCTAAGCACATACATTTTTAAATAATACAGTAGCTCCAAATACTCTTCCCCCACAACTTATGACTTTTTCTTTTTCTTTAGAGGCAAATGCAATGTTACTCTGTTAAATGAGACAGAATCCCTTAAGTCGTATCTGGAACATGAGGTATGAACCCATTTTGAAAACTGAAGAACTTCAATCTGTCATCCTACTGTGCTTATAAGTACTTCGCATTTTATTGTATGGCTTGTAATCAAAGTAACCTTTTAAATGTCATACACGAGTTATACAGAAATCACCAACAATTTATATGGGTCTCTGTTAATTTTCAAGTCTGGTGAACCATTTGTTTCCAAATACCAGTGCTTTTTAAGGGTTTTCTTTCTAATTAGGTGGTCAGTTTTATCATACAAAGCATATCATGTAATTTATGTAGCTATTCTTTTCTCCTTTGAGAAGAAGTTTTCCTCTGCCATCTAGTTAATGCAGTGCTAGCGGTTCCAACAGCGTATAGAACCAACTCTTGCATGGAAGTCGGAATGCTTACGAGAATGGTACTCATTCTACATTTCACAGACAGCCACATTTGCATCTACCGTCAGCCATAAGAACCACATGGCTACTGTGTACTCTGTGATCTACCTGCCACCAACCACACACACATACGACGATATAACTATAAGTATAGAATATATCTTACTATAACATTCTAAATTACCAGAATACTTCTCAGCTTGTAGGGTTATCTTTTCCTACCGCTGCTGAACTTTAGCCTGCCCTTATGTCTGTGGGGTGAGGGGAAGGGCTTCCCTCTCTGCTTTCTTTTGCGCGCCTTGGCATGAGGCTCAGTAGCTCGGGACAGAGAGTGACTGAGTGATATTGCCAAGGCACATGGAGTAGAGTAAGCTGGCTGGGGAAGAGGGAAATAAAATCCACCACCACTCCACTTCGACCCACTTGCTCTTTTCCTGGGTGGCTGGCTGCAATGGAGGAGGTTTTAACCTCTCTTCTCTGCAACCAGCTTGTTCTCTTCCTGACATACTGGGATGAGAGCACAGAAGCCAGGGAGAAGGGGGGGGGGTTGAGGTTGTTGGGAAGGATGGGCTTTTCCATCCCTTGAACGAGGCCAGTGGCACACAGAGGTTTGCAGCTTACCCACCCTCCAGTCCCTCCAGTGTTTCAAGGTGAGAATGATCTGCCATTCACAAGCACTACCGGGCAATGGCTTTGTCCACTGTGCTGGAACATGGAGCGTATGCCGCATGGGGAAATAGTGCTCAGAAAAGCCACAGGAGGCATGCCAAAAGAGCCACATGTGGCTTCTGAGTCGCTGAGTGGATATCTGTGGCTTACAAAATGGTTGAAGGGCAGTAATTTCCGGTCAAGGCCATTACTGAGCTCCCGGTCCTAGTTTCACCTCTGTGTTGTTCCCCACCACCCTGCCAGCCCTCTTGAGCAAGCAATTAGTGAGAGGAACTGGAAGGCAGATCTGCTAACATTGGGCACCTTTCTCTCTCAGAATTAGTGTGCATCAGACCCGTACAGAGAGCAAAAGAGTGGGAAGCATCAAGGTGATGAGCTTAATCAGAAGGGGGGGGCAACAATCCCCAAACTCCTGTTTCATAGCAATCCTATGCTGAGTTGTGCAAGTCCATTGACATAAGTAGGCTTAGAATGGAATAACCAGGCCTCAGTTCCTGCCGGAGTGCACCGGAGCACCACTCTGCCAGTCAGGAGCCCAGGGGGCGGGCACATAAGCCCCGCCCCCTGCTCAAACCAGCCATCAGTTGGGACACAGTGTGGGGGGGGGAAACGTTCCCCCGCCTCCCTGAGCCCCAGGGTGGTGGCCTTGGACTTGTAGGGGCAAATTCCACTTCTCGCGTGAGAAGTCATTCTGGCTCTTGCAGCTCTCCTTCAGGGCTCCTTAAAAAGTTATGGCCGCTGCCGCTGTTCTCAGCGGCAGCTGCAATGCCTGCGCAGGGGTGGGGCGAAACATTCTCTTGCCTCCCTGAGCCCCGGGGTAGTGGCTTTGGACTCGTAGGGGCAAATTCCACCTCTCGCCTGTGATGCCGGTCAGACATCACACGCGAGAGGTTCTTCTGGCTCCCCCAGCTCTCGGGAGGGACTCTTTAAAAAGTTACAGCTGCCATTGCTGTTCTCGGTGGCAGCTGCGATGCTGGGGGGAGGGGAGGGGAGGGGCCAAACGTTCTCTTGCCTCCCTGAGCCCCAGGGTGGTGGCCTTGGACTCGTAGAGGCAAATTCCACCTCTTTCGTGTGGGACTCGTAGCGGCAAATTCCACCTCTGGCGTGGGGACATCACATGCGAGAGGTCATTTTGGCTACCCCAGCTCTTGATAGAAGCTCTTTAAAAAGTTATGTCCACCACCGCTGTTCTTGGCGGCAGCTGCAATGCCCTCGCGGGGGGAGGGGTGGGGCGAAACATTCCCTTGCCTCCCTGAGCCCCGGGGTGGTGGCCTTGGACTCGTAAGGGCAAATTCCACCTCTCGCGTGTGATTTCTGAGCGGCGTGTGAGTTATCGTGTGATGTCTGAACGGTGTTGCCCCAGCTCTCGGGAGGAACATAACACGCGAGAGGTCATTCTGGCTCCCCCAGCTCTCAGGAGGGGCTCTTTAAAAAGTTATGGCTGCAGTTGCTGTTCTCGGCGGCAGCCGCAACGCCCACATGGGGGGAAGGGGTGGGGTGAAACGTTCCCTTGCCTCCCTGAGCCCCGGGGTGGTGGCCTTGGACTCCTAGAGGCAAATTCCACCTCTCACGTGTCATGTCTGAGCGAGAGGTCATTCTGGCTCCCCCAGCTCTTGGGAGGGGCTCTTTAAAAAGTTATGGCCACCGTCGCTGTTCTCGGCGGCAGCTGCGACACCCACGTGGGGGGAGGGGCGGGGTAAAACGTTCCCTTGCCTCCCTGAGTTCCGGGTGGTGGCCTTGGACTCATAGGGGCAAATTCCACCTCTCGCACAAAAGGTCATTCTGGCTCCCCCAGCTGTCCTTAGGGGCTCTTTAAAAAGTTATGGCCACCATCGCTGTTCTCGGCGGCAGCTGTGACGCCCGTGCGAGGGGAGGGGCGGGGTGAAATGTTCCCTTGCCTCCCTGAGCTCCGGGTGGTGGCCTTGGACTCATACGGGCAAATTCCACCTCTCGCACGAAAGGTCATTCTGGCTCCTCCATCTGTCCTTAGGGGCTCTTTAAAAAGTTATGGCCATTACCTCCTCTGCTTTCGGCGGCAGCTGCAACCACCGCGGGGGGGGGAGGACTGCTGAGCTGCCCTCCCCACCTTTTTCAGACTCTGTGCCTGAAAAACATCCTGCAGAGCCATCGCCTCTGCCTTTTCAGGCTCCACGCTAGAACGCCGGGCCTGAAAAAGGGCCAGCCGAATGTCCATTTTGGCCCCTTTATATCCTATGGGCCATTGAAGTCAATGGCAAAAACATAGGTTATATTCTGGGGGCTGGAAAGAAGGGAGTTTGAGGGAGAGGCTCCAAACTCGCAGGATAACTGACGGAGCCTCTCCCCAAGATACCAATCAAGTTTGAGAAACATTGGACCAGGGGGTCCAATTCTACGGGCCCCCAAACTGGTTGCCCCTATCCCCTCCATTGTTCTCTATGGTGGGAAAAAAGTAACTTATGCCCGATAGGCAGCCTCCATATCTTTGACTATTTCCTCTGCTGGTAAGCCTGTTACTGGAGCAATAATCTCACCCAGAGTCTTCTTCAAATCTTCTTTTTCATTTTCAGGCACTCCCTGAAATCTGAGAGTCATGTTAGCTTTCTCCATTTACAGCTGTAGCAAACGGTTTTCCTGCAGTTTTTGTTTTGATTCCACATCTGTCACTCTTTTCTTCATCTTCTTATTTGCGGTGTCCTCCATCTCTGTAATTTTCTCAGTTGCATGCTCCACTTTCTTCTCTGTCTCTGCCAGCTGGTGCTGCTGCAGAGCAAAGTTTTGGTTTAGCGTGGCCAGTTGCTGGTTAATACCACCGAGTTGCTCCAAAACCAGCTTCAGCATATCTGCTAACATCTTCATGAAGTCTGCTCCCTCTTCCGGTCTTGGACTCTGACTGCCTTTCGGTTTCAACTTCCCTCGAGAGGCCGCCATGTTCTCACTTTGTTTACAGTTTCAATCCACTTTGCCGGGGCTCGAAAGACTCGTCGTTTTACTGTCGGTGCTCAAGTAAGTCTCTCAAAATAAATCACTGGGTTTTTTCCCCTCTTCCCCCTTCGCTGCGTTAAACTGTCCAAGCGCTTAGGAGGCATTTATTTCGAACTCACATTCATTGTTGGTCATGTCTTGACCCCGCTCTCTTCATTCACTATTCCGCTCGATCTCCTGCGCTTGTCCCGGTTGAATTGGCTTATACCCAGAGGTCACACATCAGCTGGACCATCAGGGCGGAGGGAAGCCTCTATTCTCCGGCATCAAGCCGTCGAAGAGGCTAACCCTCGAGAGCCCTCTGGCCTGGAACCCATCACAAGGGCTCCGTGGGGGTGCCACTTGAGGTGGCACCCCTCCAAGCTGGTGGTGTGCTAGTCATCTCCTTGAGCATCGAGGAGAGCGACCGCCATCGCCGATCCACCCACCAGAAATCCACAGCCCTTGGATTTCCTCGGAGGTTTCCCATCCGACCCTGCTTACGTTTCAGGATCTGATAGGATTGGCATTCCAGGTCAGGACATATTCATGTAGAAGAATAAGACACAATGGCACAGTTGAAACTTATCTATAGTTTAGTATACCTATAGTACCTATAGTATACCTATAGCTGAGTTGCCACGTCTCTTTGAGATGCCAGCAGGGGGATGGGGGGGGGACGCTCCGGGAGGTGGAAGCATTGCTCCAGATGTGCCAACATCACCTGGAAGTGACGTTGGTATGTTGGGGGCGACACTCTGTTTTTTGGGCAAAACTCTATGGTAAGATCACCCTCAAACCATAGAGTTTTGCCCAAAAACCAGAATGTCAACGATGTGCCCATGTCACTTGGGGGGGGGGATTTCATCCCACCAGCCAGCTAGCTGGCAGCAGGCAGGTGCCCACAAAAGCAGGGGATCCCCCACCCTGAACTGGGGAATGGTAACCCCATGTCAAACAGTGGTTTACGATAACCATCAAGCCAGAACTAGAAACTACAGCAGGGTTGCAAATCCTGG